CCTCCATTTATATTTTTAGCCTAACAAAGACCTTCTGTTGGGGCTGAGAGATAAAGCCTTCACCTAGAGCAGGTGCCCTGAATTTAGACATCTAGCCTCCTAAAGCTATAAGAGAATGTGTTAGTTTGTGAAAGTCATCCTTTTGTGGTATGTTAGTAACACTAGATAGCTAAGAATCTTTGGTTCATAGATGAGCAGAGGCATGCTGGTCCCTGAAACATAGTCCCTGACATCTCTCCAGTAGTCCTTCTCTCCATTGTTGTCCTTGATAGTTTGGACTGAATCTCAATTCTGTGTTTTCAGAAAGACATAACATTACAGAGAGTATAATGTTTCTCCTGTTGGTTCCAAGGTTTCAGGAAAGGATCCTTGATGCAAATGGGGCTGAGGAGAAGCCACGAGGTTGAGAAGTAGTAGTTTCAGACAAAGACAAAGTCATCCTCCTTGATCACAGAAAAGTCTGCTAGAATAAAGGGACTCAGCACTATTATTGGGCCAGAGTTATCTGAAGAGGCAGAAGAAAGTGAATGATAGAGTTGGGTCATCCCATTGGCCAAGAGTCTGCTTTGAAACACAAGGATTTTGCATTTAGAGGTGAGAATGGTCATGGAGAATTTCTCAGAAACTCCAATAGAATAGATCACATTCACTGTACTCACAATTGTACTGGAAAATGAACCTCCCCTATATTTGGTAGTTGGCAGTTGACCAGAAATGCTTCTGAATAAAGAAAGGCCACATGAGCAGAGCAGTCCCCCTAGAAAATTTTGGATCCATTCATTTCTCCCTTTTCAGTCCCTCCTTTATCTTCCTTCCTCACTGGTTAGGACCCCCACCCCCCTGTGAGGGTTAATGGTCTGTATCCACTTGGCTAGGCTGTGCTTTTCAGTGTTTTGGCAAACCCCGGCCTGGGTACTCTTCCACATGCTAATAGAAAGGGGTCATCTACCATTATGTAATCTGATATGGTCAGTCAATTGATTGAAAGCAAAGAGAGTTTCCTTGAGGGTGTGGCCTACTTACAGTATATAAATGGAGGTACTGGCAAAGCAAATCAACACAGTGCTTTTGTGAGCTGCCCTCCAGATCTTGGGACACAAGCCTGCAGAAGTCTCCACTTGTTGCCTGACCAGCAGATTTTGGATCCATTAACCCCTGTGGGGTTAGGGGACCCAGTAGTCCCCCATGTTAGCCACAAGTCAAGCCTCCAGGGAGCTCTGGTGACCTAATGCTAAAAAGCTGCACTGCAATCTCAAAGGCACTTGGTTCAAATCTACCATTTGCTCCATGGGAGGACAGGTAATCTCCACCCTTGGGATTTACTGCCTCTGAAAACCCACTGGAGGGTCAACTCTGAGTTGGTTCCCACTTAACACAAGAAACCTCTGTAATCCCATGAGCCAGCGGAGGTCTCCAGCCTGCCACCTGCCACAGATTTGGGATTTGCTAGGGCCACATTTACATAAAGCATTTCCTCACAACTGTATTAGCCATTTCCTCTATAAATTTCACTGGTTTTGCTCCTCTAGAGAACTCAGACTTAGATAGACTTGAAATTGAGAAACTTTATTTAGATAAGACAAGGATGATGCAGGATAGGACAGGGTTCAGCTCTATTTGTTTGTAGGGTTGCTGTGAGTTATATTCTCCTTGACAGCAACTAACAACAACATTCTGGTCAGGGAGAGAAAAACTGATGGCTGCATGTTGGAGGTAGTAACAACTGCATGATGCTGGGAAAAGAGTCTAGGGTGGTTACAGGCCCAGGATTACAGCAGGACAAGGCATGCTCTTTGAGTAGCTGTCCTCACTGAGGGAACCAGATGATGTAGAAGTTCAATTTAAAACACCTCTTTCTTAGGCCTCTTCTGCCTTTACTTTCTCTCATCTAGGCCCCCATTCAGGCTTATAACCTCAAATGCTGCCAATTCCTCCTCCTCCTGAGCCCCAGTCTTGAATCTTTGTGCCCTTACATTCCAGACATAAAATATCTAACCTAGCACCTCCACCTCAATGTCAAATAACTCAATAAAACTCACTACTGTTAACATATTTCAACTAACAGATGCTGCCCTAGATGTGCTAACCAAGTTGTGCCAAGAAATCTGGAGAACAACCACTTGGCCAACTGACTGGAAGAGATCTATATTTGTTCCCATTCCAAAGAAAAGTGATTTCACAGAGTGTAGAAATTAGCGAACAATATCACATGCAAGCAAGATTTTGCTGAGGATTATCCAAAAATGACTGGAACAGCACATCAGCAGAAGTTCAGGCTGGGTTTAGATGGGGCCGTCGTACTAGGGATATTGTAGCTAATGTTAGATGGATCTTGGCGGCTGGGCTCTATGAGGAGAAATGTGGCATCAGGATTGGAGAAAAAATCATCAACAATCTGTGTTATGCAGATGACACAACCCTGCTTGCTGAAACTGAGGAATACCTGAAGCACTTGCTGTGGAAGGTGAGGGACTACAGTCTTCAGCATGGATTGAGACACAGTATCAAGAAAACAAAGATTATCACCACTGGGCCGATTGGCAGCATCATAATGGATGGTGAAGAGATTGAGATTGTTCACAGTTTTGGTTTGCTTGGCTCCACAGTCAACACTCTTAGCACCAGCAGCCAGGAAATTAAAAGATGTATTGCGATGGGAAAGTCTGTGGTTAGAGACCTTTCTAAAATGCTGAACTGCAAGGATGTCAGTCTGGAGACTAAGATGCGCCTGATACATGCCATGGTCTTTGCAATCACTTTGCAATCACAGCATCGGAGAGCTGGACAAGGACTAGGGATGATAGAAGGAGAATTGATACCTTTGAGCTGTGATGTTGGATGGAGAAGAGTATTGAATATACCATGGACTGCTAGGAAAACAAACAGGTTTGTCCTGGAGAGGGTGAAGCTAGGCTGCTCCTTGGAGGCAAGGATTCTGAAGCTTCGTATAACTTACTTTGACATGTTGCAAGGAGGGACCAGTTCTTGGAGAGGGATGTCATACTTGGGAGGGTGGAGGGACAGTGCAGGAGAGGAAGACCCTCAATGAGATGGATTGATTCAGTGACTGGGATAATGGGGGTAGGTGTGTCGGAGATGATGAGATTGGCACAGGATAGGGCAGAGTTTAGGGCTGTTGTACATAGGGTTGCTTTGAGTCGCAGGCGACTCGATGGCACATAACAACAACAACTGTTGAGTTGTAACTGACCCTCCAGGAGTTTTCTAAGGTTGTGTCACAAGGGTGAAGATTGTCCATTTTTCTTCCTCCATGTGGTTAATGGATTCAAACCACCTGCCTTTAGGTTGGCAGCACAATTCGTTAACCCCTAGACCACCAGAACTCTTGGATGAGTTTAGAAACAACAGATTCTAAAAACTTAACCATTGTTGTTATGTGCCAGTGAGTTGCTAGTGACCATATGTACAATAGCCTTGAAACCTGCTCTATCCTGTGCCAACCTTATTGTCTCTGACACACCTATCCTTATCAATCCATCTCTGAGGATCTTTCTCACTTGTGCTTGCTCCATCCTTCCAAACATGATGTCCCTCTCCATGGACTAGTTCTTCCTTGCAACACGCCCAAAGTATGTCAGACAAAACCTCAGAATCCTTGCTTCCAAAGATCAGCCTAGTTTCACCCTCTCTAGGACGAACCTGTTTGTTCAATATTCCAGCACTACAGCTGAAAAGCATCAATTTTCCATTATCCCTAGTTATGGTCCAGCTTTGACACATAGCAAGTAATTGTAAAGACCATGACCTGGATCAGGCACACCTTTGTCTCTAGACTGACAACATAGCTCTATTTTCTGTACTCTGGAGAGGTCCCTGACAGCTGACTTTCCCAGTGCAACTCATCTTCTGATTTCCTGGCTGCTGGTATCAAGATTGTTGACTGTGGAGCTGTGCAAACTGAAGCCGTTAATCTCTTCACCAGCAGTCATAACTCTGCCAATCGTCCCAGTGGTGAGAATCTGTTTTCTTGATATTGAGCTTCAATCCATAAATATGCCACCAAATAAGATTGTGCTCTTCTCCCAAAGACTTGTATACTCATCATAATTGGTATCAATTCTGTTTTCCCACGAATACAGATGCGAAGCTTGGCTAGCAGTATTTTTTAACATACCAGGTTGCTAACCCAAAAGGTAGGCAGTTCAATTCCAGCAGATCTGTGGGGAGGAAGCTGAGTGGTCTCTTGTAAAGATTTATAGCCTGGGAGGGTTGCTATGAGTCAATATCAACTAAAGGGCGGTGAATTTGGACTAAACACCTATTTTACTTGGCGGAGTGGCAAGAAGTTGCACTGCAATACCGAAGGCCACCAGCGGCTCTGCAAGAGGATGGGCAATCTCTTCTCCTGCGATTAACTAACTGCCTCTGAAAACGCGCTGAAGGGTCAGCTATGGGTTGGTTCCGACTCTACGGTCCACAATAACCAACCAACACGACGTATACATACATAGAACTCTGATGACTTAATAGTAAAGAGTTGTGCTACAAACGCAAAGGCAGTTTGTTCAAATCCACCAGATGTTCTGAAGGAACAAAGATGGGCAACCTCTTCCTTCTGTGATTTGCAGCCTCTGAAAACGCGCTGGACGATCAGTTGGTTGGCCTCCACAACACACAGCATATGTATGCATATTGCCCCCGGAACACCACCTGTAACACATAAAGTCTCATCCTGTGCAATGAACGAAGCAGGCCGGAGCATGAGAACTAAGTCTGTCCCTCTTAACCACGCTCAGGGAGAGGTTGATGGAGTGGTAATGCAAGTTAGTTACCACCCTGTTGGACCTTAAAGCAGCAACCTAATCCGAGAGCAAATGAACGCTTCGGGAAAGGTCCGCAAGCAGCCACGTGTGGGCGGGGCGGAGCCGGGCGCCTGCGCCATAAAGGACGCTGCGCCCGCGGCCGCGTGCACTGTACCGCCCTCCGCGCCCACCTCCGCCTCCCGGCACGTCTCAGTCCGTGCACTCAGCCTCTTCTGCCATGGCCGCGCTTACTCGTAATCCGCAGTTCCAGAAGCTGCAGCAGTGGCACCACGAGCACGGCTCCGAGCTCAGCCTGCGCCACCTCTTCGACTCGGACAAGGAGCGCTTCAACCGCTTCAGGTGCGTGCGGGGGCCCCGGCGAGCAGGACGGCAAGTTAGAGGCGGCGACGGGGCCCGAGACTCTGGGACCTGAGCGCGCCGAAGCGCATGGGTGGGCTCGAGTCTTGCGGCGACTGCAGCGCCGGACCCCGACGAACCTGTGCTGATTCAGGTCCAGGCCGCACTTAGTCCTTGAAATCTCCTTGAAGCAGGTTCTGGGGGCTGTGGGCTCGTGGATGCTGCTTAGTCATGAGAAGGAGCTGGGTCACTCCGCAGGTCCCCTCTACATACGTGGACAACTGCTCTTACCCTTCGTTGTGATAGGGTTACCATCCAAGAGGCTGAGTCCAGCAACCTAGGAAGTAGCGGCAAATAGGAAGGACTGTTGGAGGAAGTCTTAGATAGGAAGGGGTTTGATGTGCTCCGATCACCATCAAGGGAAGCGGGAAGCAGAGGACTTGTAGCTCCAGCCTGGAAGACGCCAGTGGCCAGCCAGTTTGTCTTCTGGGTCGTGCCTAAGCGAGGGAGTCTTGGGAGGGTGTGGTCACTCTCAGGGGAGACTGTACCCGACTCTGTCTACCCATCCCCCATCGTCTCCTTTCCAGATTTAGTGAGGAGCGATTCCCCACTAAAGTGCTGTGAAGGGTGGGTTTTTAATTTACTGTGCGGCTGTTATGAGTCAGTCTGAAGGCTAGACAGGTGACAGATACCACCACTCTCCCAGACCCCTGAGGTCCTCCATGGGGTGTGGCTAGTAGATATGTTTCTTCTAGTGGCAGCTCCTACCGCTCCTCTGCTTAACATCCAGGGTGGGAGTCCTGCCCCCTGGCCCTGGCGTGTGGGTAGCAGCTTTACCTCCTGCCTTCTCTCTTCAGCTTGACGCTCAACACCAACCATGGACAGATTCTACTGGATTACTCCAAGAACCTGGTGACAGAGGAAGTGATGCGGATGCTGGTGGACCTGGTAAGGCACTTCTTCTGGATCTTGACTATTGTTGTGTGCTGTAGTCAGAACCAAACTATAGCTGACCATATAGCTTCAGGGAGTTTAGTCAATCTTGGGAAGAGGTTTCCCATCTTATCTTTCTCTCCAGGAACTGGTGATTTCAAACCATGTGCCTTTGGGATTGCAGCCCAGCTTCTTACTATTAGGCAACCAGAGCTCCCTGGAAGCTTGACTAGTGACTAATATAGTGGGCTTTGGGTTCCCAGCTCAAGTTCTGAGCAGCATCTAAGTAGACCCCCATGTCTGCTGTCTAACCAGACCCTCCCTGGGCAGTAGGAGAAGGAGCCAGGATGCAGCCTTCTCTCAGCTTCATTTGGGACAGCATCAAGCACTGTGCAGGGGAGAAGGGACTTGTGGTGGCTTGTGGCTTGGACCAGACCCCTGTGTCTTTTTCTTGCCAGGCCAAGTCCAGGGGTGTGGAGGCCGCCCGGGAACACATGTTCAATGGAGAGAAGATCAACTTCACTGAGGTGAGCAGGCTGTGGACACTGGCTTTTAACACCCACTGGGACCTCTTCCTTCCCTTTAGAGATTTGACTGTTTAGCTGCACTACCTTGTGGCTTCTCTCTTCTCTTAAGCAATATTTTTGCTCAATATGACACTGGAAGGAAAGCCTGTTTCTTCAGGCTGGTTGCAAAGTCTTGCAGTGTATCTTCCCTAAAATTGGCTGTTGGTTCTGGTGAGCTGCTTGCTCCTGGGAGGAGCGTATCTCAGACACTTTGCTCGAGAATTTGGCTCTGATGCTTCCTTACTGGAAGTTGTAATAGTGAAAAGAATATATCAACACCCCACTCTCCTACATTCTGAGACTCAGTGGTAAGGTCAGATGCTGGGCACCGGGATCATTGACCTGCTCTGGAAGCCCTAGAGGTGTAATGGCCACTGAACATGCAGAGTCTTCATCCTCACAAGAGTGATGCTTTTATCTCCTTTAACATGTAAGGAATCTGAAGTTACATAATGTCATTTATTCAGGGTGCCGTGTGTAGAGCTGAAATACAAATGCCTCCTGACTTGCACTGCTGGGTTCTGTTGAGAAGATGGCTATACTCGGGAAGAACTTTTCCTGAGGAGGTTCTCCTTCCTATAGGATGTAGGGCTGGGACGCCTTAGTGAACCTCACTACTGAGTGAGTTTGGTCCCTGGAGCAAACCCAGGAGGTTTTTCTCCTGCTTCCTTCAAGCACCTCCTCTGCTGGCCTCAACTTCAAGGGATTACTCCGTTCATGTGACCAGGCCAACTCTTTGGCACATATCACCTTTCCTGGACTTGCCATCTGGACAGGTTTCTGCCAGTTGGAGATGATGTTGAGGGCAGCTTGATTTGCTTTCATTGTTCTCCATCTTTAAGGCCAGGGGGACTTTTTACAAAGTGCCTGCAAGCCCCATGTACTCTTGGTGGGGAAATGTGGTGCAAATAGTTATGTACTGGACTGCTAGCTGGGAAGCTTCATGGTGTGATCCCATCTCTAAAGGTAGGCTCAACAATCTGTTCTGAAAGGTCCCAGCCTTTAAAATGCCAGGGAACAGTTCTCCTCTGCACATCCAAAGTCACTACAAATCAGGATGGGCTCAGTGAAGTGTAACAGCAACAAAGTTGATGGAAAATATTTGGTTTTCTTGCCTGTGACTTGTGCTGTTACCACTTTCTACCTTTGCTCTGTCACTTTATTTATTCCTTGAGCACCTGCAGATCCCTCTGCATATCCTTACCATATTTCTGCTCTCTCTCCATCCCCTTCCTCCCAACTTATCTGTAGCATATAAGAGGATTGCACATACCTGATATTTCTCGGGACCCTGAGTCACTTCTTGAGTTCACAGTACTTTGTTAGTCTGGAACTACAGTACTAAGAGACTACAGGGCCTGAATAGAGGCCATAGCCAGCCTCAGGGCTACAGTGCACTGTGCCCAGCTGGGAAAGTGGCCCAAGAGTGGAGGTCCTCACTCTGATTCTCTTCCCCAGGACCGAGCTGTGCTGCACGTGGCCCTACGGAACCGGTCAAATATTCCCATTGTGGTGGACACCAAGGATGTGATGCCCGAGGTCAACAGGGTGCTTGACAAGATGAAGTCTTTCTGCCAGGTAAGTGGCTGCTGAGTTGGACTTGCCCTGGGCCATATGTGCATGGATTTGGGGATCTGGGAGGCCCTGTGAGCTTCCACTTTTCTTGCAGCCTGAAGCTGGGGTGGTCTGTGTGATTACTGCCACTGGGCCATGTTATTCCTGTGCTGTTGTGCTGGACCTCACTCCAAGGTTCCTTCTCTGAGGGAAGCCAGGATGATCCCAGCAAGGCAGTCTTTTCAGTTTAGACACCCAGGGGCTCATGGGGAGAAATCAGCCTGAATGCAAATTGAAGGCCCATAGGGCATAGCAGAGAGGGTGACTTTCTTCAAAATAACCTCTTTAGTTGTATGTACTTACTGCACATAGTGTAGTAGCAGATAAATATTGTATAAAGGTTCTTGTCCCCACCCTAGTTAACCTCCTAGAAGCAGCCTTTGATACATTTCTGGTGAAAGCTTTCCAACAACTTCCTGTGCTTTTGCTAGCATATTTATATACACAAACATACACATTCATCTGTTGACCTTCTTTCTAACTGTTACTGTACAGCATAATTCTGCATGTCAGTGTGTGAAAGACATCTCTGTGTTAGCATTAGTGTGTGTAACTGCTGCCTCCTTGTCCTGTGGGAGGAGGAGTTGCCTCTGATATCAGCTAGATTGTCCCACTCCAGCCACTGCTGCCTCAAGGTGTATCATCAGTTTTGCAGGGGTCAGCCAGATGTCTTCAAGCCTGGAGTTCAAGGGCAGTGCCTGCATAGGTCTGAGTAGAGTGAATGAGTGAGTGAGTGTGTGTATGTGTGAGAGAGGGAGAAGGCATGCTCTGGGATAGATCACCTGGGCTCTGGCCAGCCGTTATCATTCACTGCTCATTCCAGAGAGCAGTAGCCCTGTGTGTGACGGGTCAAAGTCTGGCTGTTTTGGCCCAGAGCCATTTTTCACCCTGGAGATGATGAAGCAACAAGATGGGCTTGACATGGATCTTCCTGGCCTGATAGCCATGTGGATGAGACTTCCCAATGCTGGAAAGCCTTGGGATCCTAAAGAGAGTCTGGATTTTAGGAGGTCCCTTATAGTGAATGGTCTATATGGTGGGCTGTGTGTGTTGGTTGGGAGTAAGGGGCCATTTTCAGCTGTCTCTGGTGAGTGGCAGGGCCATTGAGGGAGCCTGTTACTCTTTTCTGGTCAGTCTCCATTGTGGCACTGGTATCTGGCGTACTATTTCCAGGGAAACTCTTCCTTGAAGCTGGCCATCGAAATACCTGACTCAGCCTTACCGGGTATTTATAGTTCTGCAAACGCTGTTGAATGGCTTTGGTTCCACGATAAGGCACATTCCCTGTGGCAGTGTTCTCAAAAGTTCTCGAGACACGGTTGAAGGTGTTCAGTGTGACCTCATCATAATGGGGGAAAATGAAGACAACCTGAGATCACTTATCAGAGGCGAGCTCACTGGAATCAAGAGTCTCAGCATAAGAAAAAGAAAAAGAGTCTCAGCATGTGTTGAGTGGTCCTGGACAGCCTTAGAAATGAGGGGGCTGTTGACCTCCATCGTGCTGTTCCATGTGCACTCACTACCACCTGGTCAGAACTCCCTCATAGCTGAGCCTCCCACAAGTGTCCAGAGACTAACTCGCATGCCCCTTTATCTCCCGTGGAGCAGCTGTGAATTCAAACTGCCCATCTTTGGGTTGGCAGCGTGATTCCCTATCCACTAGGCCACCAGAGCACCCTTTCTACTGTGAAGTTGAAAAAGTTGGAAACTGTTCCTGTTTTGTAAAGCTTCATGTGAGGAATGTGTGTAGTTACAAAAAAAGATATACCCCTGTCCTCATCCAAGGATGCTGTATGACAAACTGATGATGTGGTAGAGGGGTGGGGAAACATAGAAACTCATTTTATCTCTTTCTATATTGATGAAGATCTTACGCCAGTTACTTCTTTTTAAAAACAAGCACTAAATTTTAATAAAGAGCTCTGGTTGTGTGGCGTCAAAGTACATGACATATTGAGTTACTAACCAGAAGGCCAGCAGTTCGAATCCACCAGTTGCTCCTCTGGAGAAAGATGGAAAGTCTCCTCTTGTAACGATTTATAGCTCAGGAGCCTACTGGATGGTTGTTAGGAGGTATAATTTACTCAGTGGCAGTGGGTAAATGATAATAGTAAAAACATTTACTATATACCGAATCAGGAAATAAAAGGAGTTTCACATACCGTCATCTCTAGAAGAGAAGACAACACTTCACAATGAAAATCAAGCCCTTGTCTGTTTCCATCCCAGATGTCTTTATTTTGCCACCCTTATGCGATGAATTTCGAGGGACTAGGTTCGTGTGGTCCAGGCTCCTTCCCATTGTCTCTGAGAAAGTCTTCCTTTCTGAGTAAGCAGGCAGGTGCTTCAGCTGAACTGCCAAGCCACCTTTTACTTCAGCTTCCTTCTTTTTCCTTAGTCATTTTCCTCCACACGTTTCAGGAAGCTGTGCCTGCTTTTCAAGTGCTTAATCTGCTCAGTCTGCACATGAATTCTCTTGGCTAGAATCTTGCCCTTGACTTATTGGTGACAGTGCTACTAGCATGCTGGGTGACATTGTCAGCTTTTCTGGTTTTGCCCTGGTAACATTTGTGGTCCATTCCTCTTTGAACAGTTCTCATTCCCTCTCTATTCATGATACCACCTTTCTTGTAGAAACAACTCCCATGATTTCAAAAAGCCCCTGAAAACACATAGAGCAAGTGCCTCTCTTTCCCTGTGAGTTGATCATTTTGGTGGATTATTACAAGATTGTGACTCTGACCACTTTTTTTTTAATGAACTATTTTTTAAAGTAGTTTCATGTTTACAGAAAAATTGTAGACTTCCCACTTGTTCCTCTCTCTGCACATAGTTTAACATCTCTTATGTGTGTGGACATTTGTTATAATTGACAGAAAAACAATGATACATTATTATTAATGCTTATTAAGTCTTTAGTTCACATTAGGATTCACTCTTTTTGTGTTGCACAGGTCTGTGGATTTTTGGCAAATACTGGATGTCGTATGCCCATTGTTGCAATCTTTACATGCGATCATTTCACAACTCTAAAAAATGTACTATGTTCTACTTAATCCTTCAATAACTGCTGATTTGTTCACTGTCTCTAATTTTGCCTTTTCTAGAAAGTCATGTACTCTTAACAAAACTTTTTACCATTGAGTTGATTCTGAGACATAGCCACCACGTAGGACAGGGTAGAGCTGCCTCATCATGGTACCACGGCTGTCTTTATGGGAATAGACTGTCACCTTTTCCTCCGTGGAGGCTGGTGGGTTTGAGTCTCTGACCTTTGGGGTAATCGCCAAGTGGTTTAAACCAATGACCCACTGGCACATCTTTGGAACTATACACACTATGTGTAGCTTTTTCAGACTAGCTTTTTTCACTGCTTGTTGTTAGGTGCTATCAAGTCAATTACAACTCACAGTGACCCTGTGAACACCAGATATGAACCTTGTCCTATGTGGGGCCACGACTCAAGCCCATTGTTACAGTTACTGATCCACCTTGTTGAGGGTCCTCTTTTTCACAGACCTGCCACCTTTCCAAGCATGATGCTGTTTTTAATTCTACCTGTTTCTTCATGATTTGGTAACTCATTTCTTTATATTATTACATAACTTTCCATTGTGTGGGTGCATCACAGTTTATTGATTTACCTATTGACAGATAGCTTGGTTGCTGCCAATTTTTAACAGTGACTAAAGCTGATGTGGCATACATTTAATTCTCACAAAAGTGAGGATCTAGGAGAACAGTTGGTAGATTGAATGGTAAGCCTATGTATGTATATCTTCATAAGAAAGTGCCATTGTCTTCCATAGTGACTGTATCATTTTACATTCCTGCCAGTTGATGACTTTTCTTTGGAATAAAAAAAGAGAAGTTGCAGGGTGTCATGGATTGGATTGTGTCTCCCACAACTCATATGTTTGATATCTTAGAACCCTTTACTAGTGGATGGGATCTATCTTGGAATGGCTTGTCTTGGTGAAGTTAATGAGGTAGTTAGTGTAGGTTGTGAATTAAGTCTGTCTATTTTAAGATAGAAGAGATAATAAATAAGCAAGCCAGCAAGCAGAGATGGGGTAAGAGAGATGCCAAGTCATAGGAAGATCACCCAGAAGCGGGAGAGACAAACATCTCCCAATGAAGCCAATAGAGAGGGAAAGCCTTCCATTGCTGTCCAGTCAGAACTGACTCAGCTGATTTCGAAGAGGCATTTTCAGAGGCTGTAAATCACACAGGAGGAAATTGCTCATTTCTTCCTAGGAGCAGCTAGTAGATTCAAACCACTCACTTTTGAGTTGGCAGTGTAATTCCATACCTGCTAGGCCCACTAGAGCTTCCTCGCTGGAATCAGTAACCCATATTTGGACTAAATAGTCAGAAAACAAATTTTTGTTTCTTAAAATCAGTAATTTGTGGTATTTCTGTTATAGTAACACTAGACAACTAAGACACTGGATGGTGTTTGTTTTAGTAAAGGCACATGTACTAGGTTTTTTAATTTCTCCATAACAAATTTTCTCAGTTTAGCAGTATGAAACTGCAGTCAGCATTTCCTGTTGATCAGGAATTGGCCCTGGCTGTGCTCAATCATTCTACCTCAGGGTATCATGAAGTTGTGTTTGAAACATTGGCCATGGTTGTGGTCCTCTGAAAATTTGAGTCCTAGAGGATACACTTCCAATATGGCTACCTAGTAATTAGTGCTGGATTTGTCCAGAGGCTTCAATTCTTACCGCAGACTCACAGTTTTATCCTTTTTGTGAAGTGGTAACTGATTTCCCCAAAATACTAACAAAAGAAAGCAAAACAGAGTCCTTCCAAGTCTTTCATAACAGTTTCAGAAATCACACTTTTGTTTCTATAGTAGCTTATTAACTATTTTTTAAAATAAGTTCTAGCCAAAGTATCTAATTTAGTACCGGAAGTAGATGATCAAAACATCTTAAACATTAACTGCTTCTTGGAAG